TTTTTTTGAAATATTTATGAACTGATAAATAAAAGTTTAAATTTTGGTAAGATGGAAACTTCTTGTGTTTTTCGAGTTGTGTATAGAGTCTTGCGATTTACAGCTTTAATCTTTTTCGTCAAGATAAATTACAGGAAAGGGAACAACCGGATTGCTTTTAAAATAAAATTGTTTGGTTATTATCCTTTTCTATCAAATAGATAGATTAAAATTAGACTGGATTTTTTGTACCAACATCAACAATAAGGAACTAAATTGTTAAATTTATAATTTATGTAGCTATATTTCATACATTTTCTGAGTGTATACGACTTCAGTAATTGCTGCTACGTTCGTTCTTTTAAGGGGCAAAGTTCAAGATTCTCTCTGTGGCGACAAGAGCACCACAAAAATCTACCAAGCGATGAGCTGCAGCTCATCAACTTCACATCTTTTCAATGGCCCCCTAAGTCCTTGGGCACATACATTCATATTCACCGACATTTGTATGCACAAATATGTATGGAACGCTTTTTTATCCTTTTCTTCTCATTTCTTTTACCTTCTTTTCGGCTTTGTGTTAAATTGTTGCGTTAACCAAGCCAACCCGCTCCAGGGACAATCCATGTAAAAAGTTTAGCATAGCAGAAGGCCCCCACAGACACGGACACGGACACACAGACACAGAGGAGAACTCGGCACCAGGACCGTTCGTCGTATGCCTGGCATGCGTTTTTCACATTGTTTCATGCGGTTGAATAAACACACACCGCACACACACACCCATATTCAGGGGCACGCATACATCCAAATACGTGCATTTTATGATCTACGGAGAAAGGAACGTGGAGGAGAGAGATAAAGAGAGAGAGAGGCGAGAAAGAGAGACAGGCACTTATTCGCTCGCTTGCCTCGACAGGCTTACAAAACAAACATTGCGGCATGTTTTCGGTTGGTACACACTGCGTATACGTACTGTAAGGCCGCACATTTCCTACCTGCGTTTTGTCAGTGCCCAGCACCAACACCTGCACGCTCACAGTGACACCGGTCCTTCCACACGGACACATTGCAGTCACGTATGCACATTACTCAACACAACCTGTCCCGGGCATTGTGTGTTTCCCTTAACCCTTGAGCAGCACGGATATTTTTATTATTTTTTAATATCTCCCCCGTTGTGCAAATATTATTTTTATATCGAAGTGGCTTTTTTGGGGATATTAATTATCTGAATGAAAAGATAAAAGCCTTTGAAACTGGAAATTGGAAGAAAAAACGCCAGTAAGCTCGACTATGAAATACCCGGTAGCCAGAGATTTGTGATGTAAAATAAGATCAAGTTAGATATTTAAGTGTGCGATGATCTCAAGTTCTTGAGGGCTAGAGCACTACTTATTATACGACTTTAAGATGATGTTTATCTTGAGTAATATGCGAATATTTACAAAAAAACAATGAAGACTTTTCGTTTACTATATAATTTTAATTATAAATTTTCCAATGGATTCTATAAACGCTATATGATATATCGTTGTCTAAACTGGCGTTGTCTTGCGAGCTATATAATACATATTCTCACATTTAGTACTTGCTATACATATTATTGGCTTTCTGTTAAATTAAGTATAAAAAATAGTAATTTATTTACTTACTGAAGGTACCACGAAAAAATGTTAAAATTATTGGCTTCTACTTACTAACCCAAAAACAAAAGATTCAAGATACAAAATTAATTATACACATTCGCTGAAACTGCGAGTATGTTGAAGTAAGTAAATTGCAGTGGCTTGGCTATTTAAAATGTTAATTTGCCGCTCGGCGAGGGTATGAAATGACCATTACCCAATATTTGGGTTAAAAGTGAACTAATTTACATAGACCGCACGGTACAATGCGCAGGCGGCCGCACAGAGAAGGTAACAAAAAGATTCATTAGGGCCAATCAGTGCAAAGCGAGTCGTGGCGAAGGACATGCGGAGAGGACCTGGCCAAAAGCGGTGGCCTGGCAGTTGAAAGAGAGACAGGGAGAGAGAGAGAGAGAAAGCAGGCAGGGGTTTGTACAGGACAAACCGTGTGTGTAAACGTAAACAGCTCGTGTAGCCGTAGCCCTGGCTCCGTTGTTTGCCTTATAAATACGCACGCTCTACTTTAAACAAAGCGGACCCACCCAACCAACCGTCCACCTATCGGCCCTACAATCCAGGATACCTACCCGTCCGCCCACACACGTACACGTGCCTGCCTCTCTTATTGTAAACAATTTTGTGTGCGTCAGTATGTGCAAAACAAATTTAAACTTTACACCCAAAGTTGATTTTTATGAGCAAAACTTTAAATAATGAAATTATCTGACAAGAACTTGGGAAAGTGGCCAGAGAGTCTCAAGGAAAAGGCTGCCAAAGAGCGAGGGAATTGAAAGTGGCAGCAGGAGGGGGGTTGGGGAGTGAGAATGGGAATGGGGTTGTGGGCGGAGAACCGATAATGAAAGGGAGAACCAACTGATTGCCGCAATATAAAGTTTGCATTCGGCTCGAAAGCAATCAATGGCGTAATTTATGCCAGCGCCCTCCTGACAATCGACGACCAGGCAGAGGCATTCAGGCACCAATCCACCTGAACCGAGCCACCCCTACGCGGGTTCCATTATCAAATATTTATTTACACTTGAGCTACAATAATTCATTGATGCATCGAACGCCTGGCACGACACGCTTTCGCTGGGGACTGTATATGGGGGTCGCTCGCTTTGGGCCAGGCCAGAACCGAACTGAACGCTGGGAAACAGGTTAGGTCGCTGCCAAGCACGACCCGGCAACGTAAACGTCAGGACTAACCTTTGCCCGATGTCCTTCAAAGGCGCCGTCGCTGTGAAAGCAACAGCTGTGCGCTCTCTCCATCGCCGCGATTCAGCCCCCGATATGTGTTTAGCTTTCTTCGATATATCCCTTCCAGTTTCGAACACGGCTCTCACGCGGAATGCCGAAAGCTTTCTTATCAAAGCTTTCCATAAAAGCCACCTGAAAGCGGCGTGAGCGAGGATACTTGCCAGTTTGTGGAAGATATTGGGGTTTCCCCAAAATTAAGTGATAAACAAATACAAATTTCTGAAAAAATCTTGCAAGCTGGTAATTTATTTTAAAATAATTTTTTCCACTTGGAGATTTCAGATTATAAAAATTTAAGTTATTCTTAAAGATTTTATATTACAAATAAAATATCCCCTCTGAGAAAGAAGTAAATAAATGATGCTTCTTTCACTTCTTATAATCTTAAATAAAACAAGTAGCGTATATAATTGAAATATTGAAAAATCTATTAAAGGAAATCTTAATTTTGAACACATTATAAAAAAAAAAAAAGAATTTGAAAAGCTATAAAAATCCCTATTAATTTGTATCTTACAAACTAAATTGGTTAACATGCAAACTATTGGGCTTAAAAGTAAAATCATCTGTTCATCCTTTCGAGTTTATATCTCTTAAATAGTGGGGCAAATGTTTACAACAAGAGAAACTATAAATTTGGCATAGATCGCTATTCAGTCGTCAAACTCAAACAACGGTTTACCATTGGTATCCCAGGTGTTTTTACATTTCTTGAAGGCACAAACCAGATAAAGAGCTAAAAGAAAACGCTCATTAATAACGAATATTTAATATTTAGATTCATTAAAGACTCACTTGTAGCTTCCCATTCGGACTTGGAGAGAGTTCCCAACGGACGGCCGCGATGTGTTCCCTGGAAGCTGCGCACATGGGCAAATTGTTCGTCATCGGCACACCGCTGGGCTTGCACGGTCTCTAGGCCAGACATGCGCTGCAGTAGCTGTCGACCCTGGGGCAGAGTCTCCTTATAATAATCCGCGAAAGTGGAGCGACGCAATAGCTGCAAGCCGTACTTCCTGCCCAACTTGACCAGAGTGGGGAAATGCACCAGAAACTCGGGACAATCGACGACACCCTCCAGGTGAAACTGGTATTTTGCTCCAAAAATGGGCAGGGGGTCTGTCGAGCAGTCGAACTCAATGTTGTACACATCGTTGCCAAAACCACGGGCATCCGGACCGGCTGCCTTCAGCCGACGGATAATCTCATAGGCATCCGGAATGGTGGCTATGAAGAAGCCGCCCGGCTTGAGGCACTCGGCAGCATTGCGCATCATGCAATCCGCCTGGGCCAGCGACTCGAAGCAATAGTGGAAGGCAAACTGGCAGGACACGAGATTGAGATGCAGCGAGGGATCCTTGTAGCGTTCGCGCAGTCGCACCAGGGTCGAGTCACAGGCAAAGAACTCGGCGGTGAACTTGTTGGCGAACTTGGATTTCTCAGCGCGCTGCAGGATGTCCTGGTAACGCCGCTGACACTGCTCCACAGACACCTCGGCGATATCAGTGCAGATGAGGTGCGAGATGGCGGCCTTCTCCCACTTGAGCAGATCCCCGCCCTTGCCGCAGCACATGTCCAGCACCCGCAGAGCGTCGCCCACGCGCATCTGCTGCTTGAGCTGCGACATGTACTCGTTGATCAGCTGGCTCTTGATCCAGTTGTTGAAGTTGCGCATGAAGAATATCTTCGACTTTTGCCGGTCCTTGCGTCCAGCTTCCTTCAGCTCGTTGTAGTGGTTCGCCACCACATGTGTGTTGGCCGCTCCACCCACAGCTCCGTCCTCCTCTTCCGTTTCGCTTTTGCCCACGACGCCACCATCGTCAGCTTCTTTGGCGGCCGACTCCTCGTCCAACTCCTGGCCGGTATGGTCTGTGGGCGGCTCATGGGCGGGATGTAATGTGGCCTCTGCATTCTCACTCTCGTCGTCCGACAGGCTGACCTCCTTGTGCGTCCTAGCGAATTGCTCGTCTGCGACATTTTGTTCGTAATTGAGGCTCATAATTTGCTAGATATTCAGTTCCTTGTGATGTGAAACGAGGCCCAATGAGGTTATCGGTCTATCGCAGTTATCGGGTCAGCAAGTGATGGACGTTGAGCGTTTCAAAACAAAGCGAATTAAATATTAAAAATTAAATATAAATACAATAATATATAACACAAATTAAAAAAGAGGCAAACATTAAGAAAGATATTGCAAAATGAAATAATTGAGTTAAAAAAGTTCCATTTTGAATGTCCATCACTAACCATCAGCTGTGAACTCATCGCATGCGGTGGCCATAGAGGGAATCTTCAAATGCGTTTGATTGGATTTCTGAGTAAATTTGGCGAAATATTGAATCGTTGCGCTGTTGGGCGACTCCCACCCAAAAGAAGCATGGCCTGCAGCAGATTTGAGTACGTTAAGACCTTCGAGCAGGACGACAGTATACTGCCGAACGTGTGGATAGTCATTCGCATCGATGGCAAGAAGTTTCACAAGTTCTCCAAAACCCACGACTTTGAAAAGCCCAACGACGAAAATGGTAAGAGGGAAATTGTACCAGATTACAGAAATTAAACTTTAGATCTCTATATTCCAGCCTTGAATGTAATGAACGCAGCCGCCACGGCGGTGATGGCAGAGTTCCGGGATATTGTCCTTGCCTATGGCCAAAGCGATGAATACTCTTTCGTATTTCGAAAGGAGACGGCTGCCTTCAAGCGCCGCTCTGCCAAGCTGCTCACCTACGTCACCAGTCTGTTCTCCACGAGCTACGTGATGCAGTGGTCCAAGTGGATGAGCCAGCCCCTTGCCTACGCCCCCTGCTTCGACGGGCGGGTTGTCCTATACCCATCCGACGAGAATCTAAGAGACTATCTAAGTTGGCGGCAGGCGGATGTGCATGTCAACAATCTGTATAATACCGCCTTTTGGAAGCTGGTTCTGGAGAAGGGTCTGACGAACCAGGAGGCGGAGGCTAAACTGCGAGGCACTTTCTCCGCGGACAAGAACGAGCTGCTCTTCCAGGAGTTTGGCATTAACTACAACAATCTACCGGCCATGTACCGAAAGGGAACGATTCTGCTGAGGAAGCGCGTAACTGTGGATGAAAAGACGAGACAAGCCATTGTACCGTTGCACCAGGATCTGATTTCTTCACAGTTCTGGAAAGAGCACACCGAAATTTTGGGCAAATATGTGCCAGGAACCTACAGTTCCACTCAGCCTCTGCCCAGATTGGTGCACCTACAAATAGATGATAAGAAGGCGGAGGAATCGAAGCTGGCGGAGAGAGTGGAAGAGAGTTGTTAGGGTACTTTAGTTGATAGTACTTATGGCAATATATTTTTTTAAGCTAAAATTACACATTATGTGCATAGAAAAGTCATTTTCTACTAGTAGTCATCGTCGTCCTCGTCCTCGTCATCCTCGCTGGGTTTGCTGGCAATGGATCCGTCTGCCTGCGGTTGCCGCTGCACCATGGCAGCCGCCTGCATGCTCACCCACTGCTGTTGCTCTTCGCGCGCCTGCTCCTCGCGTGCCTTGGCGAACAGTTCTTGCTGCTGGCGCAACAGCTCCTCCTCCGGAATGCCCAGGTTCTCCAAACGCGTGCTCTGTCTTCGCCGCTTGGCTGCCACCTCTTTGCAGTCGTGAAGAACGGCCTCGGCTTCCTGCTTGTAGTCGTGGAAGCCCAGTCGCTCCAGCGCCTCCAGAACGTGCTCTGCGTTGATAGTTTTCTTGTTGCGCATGTTGCACACCTCGTTGGCTTCAGAGCTGATAAGGTGGATGAACTCGGAGCAGCAGTTTAGGATCAGCTCGCGACTCTCGTTGGCCACCCGCACCGTGGGCACCAGTTCCTTGATTATCTTGTTTATGCTGGCGCGCGGCAGGGTCAGCTCGTCGTCCTCGGCGCTGGGCGGCAATAGTTCTTCCTGCGGATTCGACATTGCGTTAAGGTAAACAAATACAGAGCTGGAGGAGGTATTTGTTTTTTTTTCTCTGCCGTCTTCGGTTTGTTTTGTTCAAGTGTGACCGTCGCAGCAAATAATTTCTGGTTTCAAGGTATTATTTTTCTGTTCACTAACGGTCCCACTGGCAAACAGAAAACAAAAAGTTTTTATTTTGATCCAAAAAATTCTTCTAAAATGGGCGACTACGACTCGGATGATGAGAAATCACAGGTGGAAAAGCTGCGGTATGCCAAGGTACCTCGCGGAATGTTCGTCAGTGGCTGGGACGACGATGCCGACGAATTGATCGAGGAAGACAAGAATCCGCAGTGTGAGAAACTGCCTTTATTCGTCCAAAGTTGTTTTCTTTAAACTCCTCTTGGGCACCTTATCTATCTTTCAGCCAGCATCGAACGCATGATCCTGTGGGCCGTCAGTGAGAATCGCATAAGCGAGGTGCGGGAGATTCTTCGCCTGGATGCCGACACCGTGAATTCCCGGGACAACGATGGATACACGCCTCTGCACCGTGCTGCCTACAACAACTTTGTGGATATGGCCAAGCTTCTGCTGCAGTACCGAGCCAATCCCAATGCTCGCACGGAACTGGGCTGGACACCTCTACATTCCGCCTGCAAGTGGAACAACGCAGACTGTGCCCACTTGCTGCTGCAGTTTGGCGCCGACGTGAATGCCGAGTCGGACGGCCAACAGACGCCGCTGCACATAACTGCCACCGTTTCAAATTGCCGGAACACCGCCACCGTGCTGCTGCTGGACCGGAATGTGCAGGCCCGCAAGGAGAACAACTCGGAGGAGCTGGCCTCGGTCATAGCACGTCGCACGGGCATGAGTTTCCCCATCTTTGAGTGCGGCGAAGAGGCGTATGATTGCGAGACGGGACTGATAGATTAACTGAAACAGCCTACATTGTGCATACCTATAGAATATAAACCTTTGCTTATTTTATAAATAGGCTTTAATTTATTAATTATAAGTTTATCAACTGGCTGGTGCCGGCGTGCGCACGAAATGCTCGTAAAAAGACTTTGTGTAGTTGATCATCTCATCCTGCATGGCGGCGGGCACAAAGTACGGATTTCCCTGGGCGCCCTCGATGGTTCCCTTAACAGTGTAACGCATGTAACTGGCTACGGTCGTCTCTGGGGGTAAAACAGCGCCATCTTCAATTACACAGCAATCTTTCAGTATGCAACGACGCCCCTGGAAGCGAAAGTTTCTTATTATTTCAGAGATTTCAACTGGGAAGTCAAAAACTCACAATAATGGCATTCTTGCCTATGTACACACAGGATCCAATGGAAGCTGCTGAGACGACGGCGCCCTCGCCAATGAAGACATGATCGCCGATGTGCATCGGGAAGAAGGCTATGCCCTTGCTGAATTGTTTGTACGGCGGCCGGATCACAGAGTCCTTGCCTATTACACAGTATCTGCCGGCCCGCACGTTCGCCAGGTCTCCTCGGATGATAGCGCCGCTCTGGACGATCACCTTTCCGTTGAGCACGATATTTTGGGAGCCACATAAAACCGTATGACGACTCACTTTGTTCCCGGAGGCCTGTGGAAAAGCATCAAAAGTTTTGGGCATGATGAGGTCATCCGGACTTTTGGTGCTCTCAGATAAGCATTCCAATCTTTTGCTCAATACTTACGGTCTCCACATATTCATCTTTACTGTAAAAGGTGTCGGGTATTTCCATTGTTAGGCTTTTGCTTTAATATTTATGTTTTAAAACATTTTTCCCCAATTGTAAGAAATTCAGCTGATCAGTGTGACCACTTTTACGACAAAATAATGCTAAAAAAGGCGATACTAAAGGGATTTTTGAAAAATACTGCAAAATATACTTGTTTATGATGTTTATCAACACTTGAACATACGTTATCGATTATTATAGTTATCGATCTTCTCTTGCAACCGCGCAATTTAAATACAAAGTTTCCCTTCCATTTGTTGCATTTAAGAACAGTTTTAAATATCTATTGGCAAATACAATTAAGGTTTTAACTCATTTCCTTCTTTAATTAGTTGCACGCAAAGCCTGACTAATTACAACTAAACACCTTCGCGGGTGCATGGAAAACGCAGGTGTTTAACTAATGAATGACCCTGAACTTTACACCACAAGTATGCAAGTATGTAACAATCACGATGCAGATTAGAGAGCTGCCTCTTCACAGATTCACTAGGAAAATGATGTGAATAACTGGGCTCACAGCTGGTGGGGCCGAAGAGCAGCCAAACTCAACCCCCAGCCATAGGCGCAGTTGGTGACCTTCCGAAAACTTCAACTTCCCGCTGTCCGGCGCGCTCCGACGATGTTCCAATTAATGCTCTTTAATAATCGCAACCCAGCCCCGCGGCTAACCTTCAAGGTGCACGCTCGAATGCTCTCACGAGGCGTCAGTAACTCTAGTAAATTATAGCATTGTAGTAGAATTTGAATTTGTTATGGTGCTTGTATTTTGTATTTTATATTTTGATACTCATGCTTATATAGCAATTCAAAAGATATGGAAATTTGGGGTATGTATTTCAATATTAAGAACTTCAACATTTTTCCTGTGTGACCTTCTGATCAGCTCTTTGTCATTAATATTTCTCTTAGCCCATTAAATTCTAACAATTGTGCCAGTTTATTGGTTGCTTTGAAGAATCCGCCAAGAGATAAAATAATAATCTTTTGACCTTCGCTATGAAAAATCTATTAATTTGTTATTGTTTGCACTTTTGAACTAAAGGTTAATAAACTTGAACTTGAATAATGTTTGGAAATTAATTGAGTTGTGCACACAAACCACTCTCAAATGACTTGATCAAACAATTGAAACGAATTTGTTTAATTTTCGTTCTTTTAATTATATTTATTATTGAGTGCTGAGTGTTATTTTTTTTTGGTAATACTATAAATTAAATAAATTAATATTTTATTATATTTTAAGCACAGTATATAGCTCATAATAAAATGTTTTTAATAAGTATCAATACTTGTTTCGGCTTTTTCTTGTTCATGTAAATGAATTTTCCCCAACAAGAAATACAAGACCAAGGTCATAAAATTCTTGAATCCAAAGAATGTGTAGCCAAGTGCCTGCCTTGCAATAACCCAACCGCGCTCGATACAACTCTTCTGCCACAATTTGACCTTGTTGGGGAGAGACGGGCCTGCGGGCCATGTAAATATTTACAATAGCCAACTCATCCAGGGCCTTGATAAATGGTTGTTCGCGGCCGCTGCTTTGGAAATTCATCATTAAATGGTCAGGCCAGGCAATCAAGATCAAGAAACATAAACGTCGTATATCCGCCACGACCCTTCCTCCATCAGATCTTGATCTTGATGCGTGTTCGGTGATGCTTTATGGCTTCAACACATATTTAATAAATGGAAATTGAATTAAAACTGAAACAATGCCAGTGCTAGCCAGTTCCAGTCCGAGTCATGTCATGTTTAATTGAATAATTGCTAATAGTTTACATATATATATATATGGCCAAGAACAGCAATGTTATAATAATGCAACAATGAAGGAGAAACGACAAATGAAATTAATTGGCATTACTAAAGTTGAGAAAATTAGTTAACCCGCAGTATTGCGTTCAGGGTGAGGCGTGGAAAGAGAAGGTTGCATCTTAATTTCACTTTTTACGAATAACAAAAAAAACTTGTTGCTCAACAGAAGCAAGTTTTTTGCCTAAGTCTTTTGTTTTAATCGAACAAATGTATCTGATAAATACATGTGTGTATGTCTATGTCTATGTTTGTATGTATTTACTGATGCTCTGAGTGACAGAACAAAGGTGACTTTCAAATAAGGGGGCCATGGCACACGACGCGTCGTTCTCAGAATCAGAGAATTATCTGAATGACTAAAGGATACTTTGAGTATTTTGGTTATTACAAATATTTTTTTGAAAAATTTAAAGATGTTAATAAAAAATCTTAAAAATAGTCTGAATTCAAAAGAATCATATTTAAGGATGCTCAACATAATTTGCTTAACTCTGCCAAATAAATTGTAATTATTTATATTTTAGAAATTTAATTGAACATTTTAGAAAATCTTTTTCGACCAACCACTAATAACTTTATAAACGAATCAACGCCCAGACCCTTGAATTATAAACTCTGCTTAATATTTTTAATCTCTTCAGACAGCCAAGACTCTTTGGAACTCTTCGGTTTTGACTAATTACAGTCATTACAATACAATATGGCGACCAAATGGCTTCCTCATGTCAAGAGCCCAGCGCGAAACGAGTAGTCTGCGATTACCTATGGAGTTAGAGCGACTCGCGCACTGTGAGCTCAGTTCAAAAGCCGGGTTCAAGTACGAACTAACGATTGTTCGAGACAATGAATGACAGTAGCTGCCCGGCGGTTGGATCTTGCCAATGTTGGAGCTCCTAAGTGCGCCATGCAAACGTCACGAAAAATTGTGTGAAAAGTGCAAATGAATGCGCTTCTGATTTGGCGAATATTTATAATAATAATTCTATATATTATGCCTAAACTGGGCGTGGCACTTGGAAATTGCTTTTTATCTCCTCGAGCAACCTTAGGCTGAAGTTGAAGCTGTGCTAATTAAAACATTATGTTTGCCCCGAGGCTAAGTTCGCATTAAAAATCGCTTGTTTGTATTTTTCTAGCTGTTTTTTTTCGACCCATGGTACACGAAAAAATATCAAAAACCAGTAGAGGGTTAGCTGTCAAAAAAAGCAACGCTCGACAAACGGCAGCAACTATATCGCTGACAGCAGACACCTACAGTGCGGTATATATTTCTACGATTTATTTGCAGCGAATCCTGTTTAAAAATAAAGCAAGTATCTTTTTAAATATATGTTTTCTTAGTTATTTTTTATTATTAAAAACTAAATAATAAAATAAAATATATTTGAATTACCAAACTAAATACTCTAAGTAATGTAATTTTCTTTAAAATGCAGCTAATAAAATATAATAAATATTTCATTTAAGGTAATATTTATAATTTAGTTTTTGTTACAGGAAAAATCTTCTTTTAAAGTAAGATTATAAAAATTCGAGTTAATACAGATATT